CAGAAGAAGGGTTTGTGGAGGAGGGCAAAGCTCAGGGATGAGCATCTTTCACAAACCAGGCTGAGCGATTGTGGTCTGAGTAATTACCCACTGAAGGGGAGACACGATTCACCCTGCTGTTCAGCAAAAGTTCAAGAGAAGTTATAATTGAACAATAACTGGTTCACACATGAACAATCCCGCGCACATGTATACTTAATAATAATAAGCCGCGATGCATCTGAGTGAGAATGAACAACAATGTCAAAGGGAGCAGCCTGCCAGCGTGTATCCATGTTATCTGTGTGTTTGATGGTGGGGGGGCAGATTGGATAATGATTGACACCGAGGCTGGACTCATCTTTGCTCGTCTTAGAGGCGGACATGATGTTTGACTTTGTGTTCAAACACAACCAGAAAGTTATCCGGGTGAGTGAAGTTCACACATTCAGCAGGACCAAACCGCTTTGTGTTGAAGTTTGGAAATCTTTATTTGCTCTGAAGTACTGAGCAGCTACACTTTTTCTAAAAAAAATAAAAAAAAGTTGTAAAACTATTGAAGAATAATGAAGCTGTGGTAAAACATTTTAGGGATTTTTACCTTCTTCTGAAGCTGCCTGCTTCCAGGTCGTTTTGCTGCTTGTACTTCTATTCTATTCTATTCTATTCTATTCTATTCTATTCTATTCTAACATTTTCCATTAACCATTTTCCTCTCTGAAAGTTGAAAAAAGGTTTATAAGCTTGTTGCTGACCTGAACCGCTGAATGATTCCAGTTTGTTAAATTAATTCTAAATGTTCTTTGTGGACCAGCACACATACAAACCTACTGAAACTTGATGCATCTTGTCATTTAGTTTGCATCATTTTATAAATAAATGGCTCAGAATGTGACTGAATGAAAGGATCAGACTGCTAACAGAAAAACGGAAGCTTTATCATTACATATTAGAATTCATTAATTGAAGTTGTTTTACTCAACAAAAAAAAAGTGATATTTCATAAACATTGGAGACAATTGTTTTATATGACTTAATTTTAAAGAAACTTATCTACGGAACAGACGCTAAAACAAGCTTTCTGTTCTATACTGTCTGAGCGTTCAAGGTAGGGCTATTAAAAAATCGATTCAGTTAAATACAGCGATATTTCATTGCACGATATTGGTATTCTTCCAGAATATTGCTAAAAGGATCTTAAATAAAAATAAAAAAAAATTTATGTATTTATAAGCAATTATAGACTATTATAAAATGTATTGCCTATTAATCAGCTGCTCTGCTCCGTCTGCAGCAGACTAACAACAAGATCTCATGAGGTTCTCCACTTCTATATTATTATAAAAATCACAATATAGCGTCTAAGTGGCTCTTTTCCTCCAACCACTTTTGCTTTGTTTTAAATAGTCTTTTGAATCTGAAGAAACAGGTCAGAAACTCATTTAATAGTAATAATATTCACTATTTTAACTGTCTTTGCACCAGGGATCACACCAGATTTTCACTTCTGCTCTAAAAATGTTGTCTCTATTTTCTAACTTTATCTCCAGCTTGTTTACTGGGTTCATTGGCTTTTTCTGTGCTCTTGCAGCACACCTTAAAATATTTTATTTTGAACCAGCGTGTTTCCCCTGCCTGGAGACACTGTTAAAGTTCTGAAGTGGCTTCAGGCAAAGTTTCGGCTTGATTGGAGCTAAAAATGAGGGTGATGGCAGGGAGGCCCTCCAAACCTCAAAGATGTGAAGCACAGCTTAAAAAATAAAATAAAAAGAAATTTGTCAAATACCAGTTAAGGAATTTAAAAACCCTGCTCAGTAATTATAAGAAAAATATGATAGCTGTAATGCAAATAAAAATATTTGATTACTGAAACATATAATCTAACTACATGACATTTCTTTCTTTTACAAATTAATGTTATTTGTACATTATTTTGTTTTTTTTGATGATGTGTGTCTAACTGGCTTTAAAATGAAGCAAACAGACATAAAAACAAACTGTTCAGCTCATTCACCTAAATAAATGACTTCTGCACTCAGACATATTTCTCATTCATATTTATTACTCGTATTAATCTTCTTTCGACTCATTATCTCAAATGTCTGTTTGCTCAGTCAGGTACAGTACTTTGAATTGACTGGCATGTCTTTGAAGCTCTTGTTAGAGAATAAACTGAAAAATGAATCCTCACCAAGTGGTAGAAAATCTGATAACTTTAAGTAAACACATATTATAAAAATAAAAACTCACCACTCTATATTTTTTGTGGATTTGAAAGTAAAATGGAGAATCCTGGCATATTAAATGTAAACTGAAATTGTTCATTTCTGTTTTTTATTTTTATTTTGAATGTTTTCCCTCTAAAATATAAATAAACCATGCAATGTTTCATCAAACATTTAATCTGTTTATCAGGACATGTTTAGATGGCAGGCAGCCTTTCTTTTCAAACCCCTTCCTGTCTGCAGGACAGTGAGAAGAGATGTTAAACTCACCCTTTAAGTCTTCTTGTTGCCACTAGATGGCGCTTGACCACCAACTATCCTCCATCCTTCACAGTTCATTCAGCTCCACAGCTCAGCCCTGGTTTATTATTTATTTCTTTCTCTGGAAGCCTGATGGGAAATTTGAAGTCACCTAAATAAAAAGGAAGGTGTAATTAACGCAACGAGCTATTAATTGCATCTGCTAGAGAGCGGATGAAGGGCACCGAGGCGAGCTTCCCTTTTTATTACACAGCCTTTCTCAAAAGTCTTCTTGGGATCCATCAGAGGAAGGGAGATGGGCTGGTGTAGATTCATGTGAGGCGTCCAAATGGCAGGTCGGGTCAAACGGATAACGACCATGATGGTGATGATGATGGTGAGGCAGAGGGGGGGGATGTCCACTGATGTGAACTGTGTGGTTCACCACAAGCCAGCTGATGTGAATCCAAACACAAGCAGCTGAGTTTAGTATCAGTGCAAATGCTGGTCTAAATAACTTTATGTTGCTGTGTTTTCAAATCAAACTGCACCCTTTAGAGTCCACCTGGGTGGAGGCGTGAAGTTTGTGTGCTTTCACAACTGATCAATCCATCCCATCCTTTCACAGATCAGGCTGGTTCCTGGCTCGCCCACATTTAAGATTACAAATATGATTTTAAATGAAAATTAAAAAGTACAGGTGTATTGTTTTGCATGTTCCTGCTGCCTTATTGCATCTAAATCCACAACCTTTGAGTTTCTTTTTCTAAATATTGTCACCCAGAAGTCACACATCACAGCAGCTCATCTTAGGAGCATTTTAGAGAGATGATGCAACAGGAAAATAAAAACTAAAGGCTGAAAGCTAGCAAAATATTTATTAAATGAAGTGCTTCTTAGTAGATATTTCTGTTTTTTTTTTTTTTTTTTTTTACCATTTTAATGGCAGGTTTGTTTTGATTTTAGAAATCTTCATGTGAGCCCCATTAAAAGGCTCCATAGGAACTAGTAAATGTAAAGATAGATGGAAAAAATCCCTTTTGTGGTTATCTTGGAACAGCTGCAATGGGAATCTTAGAAATGCAAATAAAATAACATGCAATTTTAAGGGGTTAACAGAGATTTCTAAAATGAACCAATTTTAATCCTTCCATTGACCACTTTTGCTCCTGGAACCCCAGCTTGAAGAGCTAATTGAACCCCAGATGAAAGCTGTGGCCTCCTCGGCCAAAGTCAGTCCATTTAAAAGCAGCCTTGGGGCAGAAACAACACATCATCAACTCACGATCTTTTCTCCATCCACTCTCATTTTCTCGCAGCCATTAATTCGTCTCCAACAACTGAGCTGCAACCAAAGCTGTCAGGCAGAGCATGAACCTGCTGCAGCACCACTCACATCCCATGTGTTTATTTGTGCACTACCAAAAAAAAAAAAAAAAAAAAAAAAAAAAAAAAAAAAAAAATCCATGTAGGCTTGATGTTGAAAAAAAAAGCCTTTTTAATATCAACCTCATTATTTAAAAATGTGCAAGTCCTTTGTTCATGTGACACCAGCGGGCATTTATCACCTCTGGTAGATCTACCCCAAGTTCATCCAGTGAATATGACCACATCCCCCCCACAGCCCCAAAGATAAAAATGAAAACAAGCAGTAAAACAAAAACAAATCCACACCGTTGGATTGCTACAGGTCTACATCCCACAACTTTAGTCAAATCTGATAAATTCATTAAAGCTACCGAAGAGAAATTTCAGTGATCATTTCTGCAGAAACAGGAAAATAAAAAACAAAAGGAAATGTTCTCCTCCCCTGGATATGTGTCTCTGCATAACACATAAAGCGAGCTACTATTGGAAATTAAAGCATATATATATATATATATATATATATATATATATATATATATATATATATATATATATATATATATATATATATATATATATATATATATATATATATATATATATATATATATATATAACAATAAAAACAATAGCCTAGCAGTACAGTTTTTTTGAGCCCCGAAAAAAAAAATAAAAATTTGAATAAAAGGTTGGTTGGTTTTTTTTTCTTCCAATAATGTATTTAGCTTTTGACTTTCCAGATTTGTGTCAATCTGCAAGTGAAATAAAAAAAAAAAATGTGGCCCTTTTCCCGCTGCAGAACAAAAGCCCTCTGCGTCCCGTTTATAGAAATTCATCTCGTCCTTTGCGTCATCTAGATAAAAAAAAAAGAATTACGTAATAAATTACAAGCTCAAACAAGAAACAAAACAAGGTAAAGCTAAAAAAATAAAATAAAATTTCTATCATTATATTTTCCCCTCTATAATAAAGCAATAATAATAATTATAATAATAATAATAATAATATGGTATTTGCACTTAAAAAAACACGTTTAAATAATATTTCCAACATTTTCATACAATAATCGAATTACTATTATAATTATAATTATTGACCGAAAGCATAAGTTATAATGGAAAATGGGAACATTTCTGAGCGTTTCTAAGCCTTAATAATCTGTCTGTAACGGATTTCCGTGTTTGCTGGTTTTTTTCCGTTTACGCGAAATTGTTCAAATTAATCTGATTTCACCAACATTTGAATATAACAATAGAATGGCTTCAAATTAAACGCACCTGAGCGGAAATTGGACCGAAAAAAAGAACAACAAGGGATATGGCAGTAGGCTGGATCCTGAAACCCAATCAGCAGGTTCTGTTCATTATGGATCTAAGCAAAAGTCATCATTCTGTTAATAGGGAAAAAAAAAGAAAAAGTACCCCTGTGGAAAATTATATAAAAAAAAAAACAAAAACAAAAAAAACAAAACAAAACAAGATGGGTTAAATTGTGACTTTTTGTAGAAGGTTTCCCCATATTTAAGTGGATTTGGATGTTTATGCTGCCATCTTATTTCTGCAGAGACATAGAGCCCATTTTGTCATTATAGAAAAAGTGCCAGATATTTAAATCAGTCGTCTTGGAGCTTTAAAAAAAATCTTGAAGGAAAAAAAATGATAAAAATAAATAAATAATAATAATAATAATAAAAAAAAAACGCTCTGAGGGAAGAGATCCTGTTATTGAACTCTGGGTTTGACTACTGTTAAAAACCGAGCGCACTTGGTGTTTATACCACTAATTGTAGAGGTCGCAGCACGAATAATAATAATAATAATAATAATAATAGTTGAAAGGCAGCTGTCCTCTTTGTTGCTGACAGATGTGTCTCCACTGGGGCTGCAGCCTTTACTGGCCCCCAGTTTGCTCCATTAACGCGGCTTTCTGTGACCCCCCACCCCCCAATGCACATTTTGAAGCTACTACAAACTAACCCGCTTTTTTTTGCACACAGCAAGAAAGATGTTGGAGTTGATAGAAAAAAATTGTCAAATGGAAACTACTCTGCTAGGCTTTTCCATCTAAATTCTCCATCCCTGTTTTATTATTATTATGTTTAGAGTCAAATATAATTTTAATACACAATCAGGGGCTACAGCCGCCTCACAGTGCTGGTGCGCTCTCGGAGAGCACAGACTGCCCCCCCCCAACCCCCCCTCTCACACATTCACTGCAGATATCGTGGAGGTTCTCGCTGCAATCTATTATACATAAAACACCCACTAGATCGTCTCATAGTCCAGTGATTTATATATAACCTCGGGGATAAATAAAAAGGGTGAATAAGTCCTGGAGGAGCGCTCCAGCGGAGTTCATTGGACCGGGGTCTGGACCCCGTGGTGCGGCGGCGTGTCCCCGTACATATCCTCGCTGCCCGGCAGCGCTCCTCCGGGAGGCGTCATGCGTTTCTCCTTCTGTCTCCTGTTACAAAACCAAACTCTCACCACTTCTTTCTCCAGGTGAAGACTGTCCGCCAGGGTGATTATTTCCGACGCGGCCGGTTTAGGGCACTTCAAAAAATGGCTCTCCAAAGCTCCCTTTACGCTCACTTCGATCGAGGTCCGTTTTTTCCGTTTCCTTCCCTGCGCCGCGATCTTGTCCAGGCTGGTCGGGCTGCCCGACGTGGAGTCCGCCTCCTCCAGCCACTTGTTCAACAGAGGCTTCAGCTTGCACATGTTTTTGAAGCTGAGCTGCAGGGCCTCAAACCTGCATATGGTTGTTTGGGAAAAAACATTTCCGTACAGGGTCCCCAGGGCGAGTCCCACGTCCGCCTGCGTGAAGCCCAACTTGATCCTCCGCTGCTTGAACTGCTTGGCGAACTGCTCCAGGTCGTCTGATGTCGGCGTGTCCTCGTCCGAGTGCTCGTGGTGACTCTGCGGCCGGTGCTGGTGTTGATGCTGGGACGGTGGATGGCCGTGCTCGCTGAGGTGCGGGCTGTGGTGGTCCTCGTGGCTGTCTCTGAGGTTATGGTGGTGCATCCCCTGCCCGCTGCCCGGGATCAGCCCGTTGACGCTGAAGCCCGGCTGGGAGTAAATAAGGCTCTGGCCGTTCGTCGTCGCCATGCTCGGTATTTGCGCCGCGGTGGTGGTTCTCCACGCCCGTGCGTCGTGGTGGTTCCCGTGCGCCTGATGCACCAGGTGGGGCGCCCGCGACTGGTGCTGCAGGTTGTTGCTGGAGCTGTGCATCTCCTCCCGGGTGCCCTGCACCGCGGGTTTGATGTCCTGCTCGGTGCCGAGCGGGCTGGAGGACCACGGGGTCCCCTCTCCGTGGGACAACGCCGTGATCCACTGGTGCGCGTGGCTGAGCGTGTGGCTGTTGCTCTGCAGCGGGTAGTCGCTCTGCAACAGGCTCTGCGCATCCCGGTACGCCGTGGCTTGCTGCATGACGCTGGGCTCCGAGTGCACGATGGATGCGCTGGAGGTGAGGATGCTGTAGTGGTTAGACGCTGCGGTCGCCATGACTCCCGGAGCCGGACTGGTCGCTCTTATTAAAGGAACCTCGCATTTGACAGCTCCGCTCCTGCCCATAGGCGGCTCCCAGGCGCTCTGCCAAGTGGACGCCGAGGCGCACCTGGACTCCGCGCCGCCCCCGTCGCTCATTGGGCGCTGAAAAATGATGGACACAGTTGCCAAGAGTAACGGCGCGCGGATTGGCTAGACGGGAGCTTCAACAAACACTGCCTTGTTTGCTGGTGAGGTGCGAGTTTGACGCTCCTGTGGCAGCGGAGAGCCGGAGAGCAGCATGAGGAGAAGGAGCCCCGGGATCAGCAGCGCAGCTGTAAGATCCAGTTGATTTACTTTGTCAATCATCTTTTATCCAGACTCAGACTACAGGTAGTCCATTTCCAGCTGAGGGTTTCCTCTGCAGATAGCAGACGCTTAGTTTTTGGGGCTATCTTACGCAAAACTTAATTAGACGTAGTTTACATGGTGGGAATGTGATTGTGTTAGCCATGTTTGCTTTATTGGCACTAAATGAGACTAATTAGTTTCACAGTTATGTTTCATCTTTATGTGTGTATTGTAAAAATCAGATCTAAAGAAAACAAATTTATTTGCAACAAATGTGCAATTTTCTGCAGTTTTATGAATCATTTAGTTTTATTGGAGAAAATGCTGTTTATTTAATTTATTATAAAACTTTACTGCAGTACACAATTTTTACATTAAAATAACTATTTAAACTAGCAAAAATATGAAGGTTATACGCAGGTTATAAACACATCATGATTAAATGTAATGTTAACTATAAAAATTGAAGGTTTGTCTTGTTTTGCAGTAAAAACACCTCAAAAGACACAAAAATGTTTAAATAAAAAAAAAAGACGCACTTCAGAGATGCATCCCCTCTCTATGCAGCAAAACAATAAATTCCCTAAAATTTCGATCAATGAACACAAGTTAGGGGCGTCTTTTTTTATTTATAAATCTGAATAAACATATATTTGCTCATTTCTGATGGATCTAATACACCAAACAAACACGGATGGTCTCTTGTTTGACCTTCAGGGGGAAATATAACAACACAATTGTCAAAATAAAACATAAACTGAATATCAGTCTGCAAAAGTCTGATTGAAGTATACAGATAGTTTTTTAAATATTATTTATGTTAAATAGTCTTAAATGACAAAAGTAGAATAAATTGTTTTATGATTATTTGTTGACAGACAGCCAACTTGAGGTTTGGTCAAATTTAACAGTGAATTTTAACCTTTTTAAACCACTTACTATTCTTTTAGGAACACGTGAAGATGCTCAGCTGTTCCGAGTAAACAAACTGCAACAAACCAATCAAATTCCAGAGTTAACGGAGTAGGTGGGCGGGGCAAACCAGTCATGGATTCTCATTGGACTAAATAAAATGTAAATAAAAAAACAAAACAAACAAAAAATAACGAAATCTAAAACAAATTTAAGTATAATTTGATTTGTTTGTTTTTAGCTGTAGCAGAAAAGCAACAATTATTTTGAGTTTTACAAAATAGTAATGCATTCCAAAAATTAGAGCTATTTATGCTTTTTAACCTTTAACTACTTTCCATATTTTTAGTGATTGTAGTGTGCAGCAACAGGTGGAGGAAGAGCTTTGTTGAGCTACTCTGAATGTAATCAATCTATGACTTATAATACTGATAACCAGAAACTGACCCACAGATGAAAAAAAGGAACTTGGAACTTTCTAAGTAATTTTTTTTCTATTAAAAAAATGTGAAGAAAGAAATGAAGATGTGTCACTATTACATTAGTAAAAATAGTTATTAAAATAGTTTTTGAGCCTTCTAGAGGACTGTATTAGAGGTATCAGTCAGAGACTTGTCTGGTTGTTAAATGTCCACTCAGGTGAAAACAGACGGAGGTGAACTGAAGGATTAAGTCTGACCTAAGGCCTCTAGTTCAGGGCACGGAGGGCAAGTCTCCGTCCCATCCCAGCTGTTGTTCCACCCGATGTCGGCTTCAGGGACCAGGACTTTGTCCAGAGAGGGGACATTCCTGGCCAACCGCTGCTGGTTGCCATAGGGAGAGGTAAATGAAACAACAGCAGTTACGTCACTGCTGTCCCCCTCCTCTAAACAGGCCTCTATTTAGAGAGTCTCTGTGCCGCGGGGACAAAGCCTTTGCAGGGATAAAGAAGGGAGGAGTGAGGAACCCCCGGCCCCTAAAAGGAAGAAAGGACTAGAGGAGTTGAAAAAGATGAGATTATGCCTGTCCTGAGAGCTGCTTCTTACTCTGCAGAGATGAATGAAACTAAAAAGAAATGCCATAGTTTGTAACCAGAAGCATGTCTTCACTTTACAACTTCTGGGTGTTGTCATCATTTAGATTTAAAGGCGTGAACTCTTCCTGTACAGACGCAATTAAAAAGCACCGTAGGTTAGTCTGGCCTACAACAATTCACTTCCCCAGATGTAACATATTACCTAGTGGCAACAAATTAAAGCCATAAATCAGCACGTACAGTTCCCAATATCCCCAATTTATAACGTTCTCACTATGCAAATGACTAAAACTGTAATTAAACATTTTATTTAATAACGTCGAACCGGCAGTAAAATGAAAAGGCAATAAAAAAGCAATCACAGAAATACTTTCACAAAAATATTCCAAACTGGTAAGTGAACATACAAAGGTCTATATATTAAATATTCACACTCACAAATCATAATCAGATATGTTCATTTATTCAAAAAAGTTCATGGGGGGACAAACGTGGAATGTGCAGAGAAAGGCATGAGAACAATGTCTCTCTTTGGCCTGGACTGGATTTTTTTAAAAAAAACTCTTAATGCTGAATTAAGGAGTTCCAAAACTTTTCCTTTTTGCTTTGAACGTTTCAAATCTTAATGGTACAAAATATTACGTTATCAAGACATTATTATTATCTTTAACCGTAAAACAAATTTTCTCCATTGTTATTTAAAGGTATCAGATGTAAAGTGGTAAATGCTGTTTCAGCATTGTGTGGTATTTTAAGTGTTTAAAATGTCTTTTAAATCCAGATATACACAAAACAAAGAGAAATAGAAAGTAACCTTTTGCTTTGATTTCTTTATTGCATCAAAATAATTCAAATTTAAACAGAGATTATTTCTTTGATCAGGCTTTAAAAGGCTAACTACATTTGAGGCTTTATCGTTTGCTGTAATTCAATACACAGACATTATTATTTTAAAAGTACATGGTGGTTAGAAAATGACAGAAAATGCAAATATGTTGTAAAATTCTAATGCTTGTCGTAAATTAAGTACATTTTCATAGCAAGCACAAACATCATTACAATGTTTACATCAGTGATAGATGCACACTCTGTGATTTAAAGTGGATAATGAGGATCAACAGAGTAACGCACACACAAACGGTCCTATTCCATGTAAAGCTGAGCTCTTTAATGAAAGATTTGTGATTGGGCCTTTAATGGATCTCATTTCATAGACTAATAATCCTTTATAGATGTGACTCCAGCTGCACTGACAGCTCATGCAGCCACCAGGATTTAAGTTATGCTGTGAAAAGTTTCCGGGCACGGTTCAGTCATTCATTCTGCTAATATTCCACATTATTGTGGCGTAACATTGAAATCGGCCAAATCAAAAGAACATTGTGGTAATTAGGCTGTAATTCGAGGAATTACCACATCGCCACACAGGCTTAAATAGTCGTGTTGGGAGAAACGCAAAGCACATTATTTTAATGGTGTAATATGCAAACTACAGCTCGTTTCAATTACATGGCTTAACAATGCATAAATGATGCGAGCCTTGTTATTTGGACTGCAGGGTCCGCTGTTACTCAGTCGCTTGGAAGGGCCAACGATGGGGGCCTCCTCTCTTGCACTGGGTGCTGAGTTGCTGCCAAACTGCATTTAAGGGAGTGAAGTGAACGGTGGGGAATGTAAGCGTTAAATTAACAGTAGGATAATTATATGACCCGTGTGCTGTAAAGATTCAATTTCTAACGCTCTAATTAGGCGACTGTCTCCCCCATACATCAGCTCACATCCCTCTGCCAGTTTCTCACCCGAAAAAAAAAGTCCTGCGAGCGGAAATAATTAGATTTTATTAAGACACGGCTCGGGTAATAAAGGAAATCAAAGGCGGGGGCCGGTTAGATGTGATATGTTTTCAAAATTCACTGACTTCTTTACACACTTGGACCAGAAAACGGAAGAGGAGGGCAGTTTGAATATATAATACGGGGCCACAAATAGACTGTTTTAAGTAGTAGTTATAAATTACGCAGATTTGTACTACTCCTCTAACTTGTCTCAAGGCGGACAAGTTGGAGGAGCCATCGTTCCTCAATTTTAAAAGTTGTCCAACTTTTTCTTGATTAAATATACTTTAACAATTAAAGCGCTTCAAAATGTTAAAACATCCCAACTCCATGCAAAGGAAGTTCTCACTATTAGTAGAAGAAAAATATGTAAATGCTCATAATTTAAGATTTGGAATCAGGAAAATAAATCAAAATAGTCATATTAACTCTTAACGACTGCAATAATTAAAAAAATCACTGAACTTCCTCAAATGGAAGGAATGGGGCACAGTTATACCATAAAAATGAATATTAAAATGTAACATATTCATCTGTAAAAGTTACAATGTTGAAAATGTAGCATTGCTAGCTACATTATTAGCTACGTAGCACCCTGTTTAAACATTTTTATTAGAACTAACTTCACATACTGGATCAGTTATCTGTTGTTTTTGTGTGATAATGTTTATTGAAGCTCAATCAACTTAGTAAAAGCTAAAAAGTTGTAATATAACTGTAGGATTTAAGAATATGTGTTGATGTTTTGTTTAGCATTGAAGCTAATGCTAAAAAGAATGTTGCTAGCAAGTTATGCTTGTAAAAACTTCCAAGCTGAGATAGAAAACCTTGTTAATATTACAATTTTTGCCTTGATCGTTTCAAATAAACACTTATTATTTGTGGTTTTGGGAAGAACAATCCAAATTAGCAAGATGATCACTTTATTTAAATTTATTTTAAATGTTATCCTTCTCCTTCAAACTTACATAAATGCAGTTTATTAATATTTATTAAACTCTATCAGAATATTATGTAGGCAGAATTACTTGTTTCAGTTCTAAAAGCTGGTTTTCTTGGTAGCCTATGGATGCAAAACATCTCAGTTTTTAGTTGTTTAATTTAAGGCATTTATTTCTGTTTGTATGTGTTTAGTTTCTGCTTTTTCAGTGCAGATTGTGTGAAACAGCACACGTCCAAATTTTTTATTTGCCGCTAAAAGTTTTGATTTCACTTTAGCCGCTTGCAACTCAGTCATTTTTATCTTTGGCCTGTTGAAAGTCTTACATAATGGGAGGCGGCCGCTCACGCCTTTCATCTTTACTGTAATTGTTGAGTCCATCAAAGATGGGGAGATTGACAGGCTGCATGGGAGGATTAATACGGTGGGTGAGTGACGACATACTGAGCCGTTCGGTCAGGAGAAGGGATGGATGGTGCTGGGGAGGAGACCGAGCAAGAGGAGGGGGATGAGATAAAAAGTAGGAAAAGGACAAAAAGTGGGGAGAGAGTTAACGAGAGGGAGAGCATTAATTGTGCGCTTTGTGTCGGGGCTCTTTTGCTGAGTGTGGCTGTCGAGGTGCGGGCCCTAACCCCTCCAGCAGCCCGTCGTGATCTGAATCAGCTCTCAGGCTGCTGTATTCCAATGCAATTAGGCCACTCAAAGGCCTGCTTAAAGCTGCACCCCCACTACGCACACATACACACTCAAATAGCAACAGCCCCTGTGGGTCCCCTCCATTGTAGCAGGGAGGTGTATTCTGTGGCTCTTTGAGGCCCTGGATGAAGAGACCACCCCGGGGAGCAGAAAAGAAGCATGGATTACCTCTCTTTCTGTCTCACTCTCTCCACTTTTCTCCCTTTCTGTGCATTTATCTATCTCTTTTGGCTTCCCCAGTTTTTGGTCTATCAGCCCAGGCAGATACAGAGCACGACTCCGAGCTCGCTTCTCCAAAGAGACGCAACTTGGAGTTAGTGCAGGATGAGACAAAAGAAGCAGAGCGATGGGGCATTACTATGATGGATGTCATTGTGGGGCTGCTTTAGCAATATCGCTTCCCTCTCCCTCTTTCATTATTCATGCAGCCCTATATTTCAACAAGTGGTGTGGGGCGTGCAGCTCACCAGCTCGTCCCCACAGGCTTCAGCGCCCCGCGTCCCCTCCCTGTGCCGTTTTAACAGAGAGCTCTTCGCAATCTCTTGGCAGAGTTTCAGTGTGTCATTCCCCAGAAAGCATTTAAAGCAGATTACAAACCTGACGCTACACCTCCCCAATAAAAGAAGAGAGAGTGAGAGAGAGAGATGGAAAAAAAATCTGGCACATTAACACCTGCAATACTGCTCAATGGCATCAGCAGATTAACAAGGTAATCCACACAATGAGGCCTTTGATTCGTGTGGTTTGGCAGGCAGTAATGCCAGGCATAATGCACAGTGTTATTTCAGGCTGTCCCAGCGCACAGAAACCTGGCACAGGCCATTTCCTTTTTTTGTCTTTTCATCAAGAGGAGCTTTTAAAGAATTTCTTCTCGTGCATCTGGTGCTTTAGCCCGAATCCATGTCAGAGAAATAACCTGCTGGCTGCTCCTGTGGCACAAGATGAGGGGAGGAAAGGGGAGGAAACCCAAGCTTTTCTGCTGTGCTCTTTAAACAGCAGAGCAGAGGAGCTCCCCCACTTCCTAAGCACCATTTTTTCTGCATAAGGACGTGCACATAGGATGTTCGTGTGTGTGTATGTGTGTGTGAGACAGATATCGTGGTGCCATCGCTCATGTGCGGCTCGATTAGCCCCACGTGCCTCGTTCGTCAGACGTGGAGGCAGAGCAGATGGCAGGAGATGCACCGTGTTACCATGCTGCAGCACTATGTAATGCCGCTCTAATTGAAACATCAATACCAGCCTGTCAATACACCACCGCTACTTTACAAAACACCACGAGCAACTGACCTGCACTTGACTGATAGAAGGAGATTGAGATGTCCTGATAAAATACTATGACAGTAGTAAAAATAACTTTTAGAGTTTTTTTTTTTCTCCAGCTCTCTTTTTTTTTTTGGCTTGCAGTCATAAAAAACAGGAAGACATTTTTCCCTCACTTGATCCCCAGTGTGGCACATTTTATTTAATGAATTGATAAAAAGTTGAGGGAGCTCACGCGGCTGTGATCAGTAATTCGACGCTATCGAAAAATTCAGCAGAGAACAGAGAGAAATTAGGCGGCTAGGAATTAATTTGTTATTTGTCCAGCTCAATGAGGAGTGACGCAGCCCCCTTAATGAACGGGTAATCCATTTCTTATTGCGGCGAGCTGAATTCACCCTTCACTGAAGTGGAAAAAGACAAACATATCGCTCGCTAACCCTTTGCAACTTGCAGGGGGCGAACTGAGGAGCTGGAGATGAGCACTGAAAGCTTTTCTTTAAATTATTGGCTGTTTTTTTTTATTTTTTACAGGGGAAGGATTGGGGCAGGTGGGAGAGGGTTTGGGTTAGACATTCACAAGCATGATCACAGCTGACAGGGCGGTCAGGAGGCAGAAATACAGTACACACATCGATTAATGATCAATTGGTTTGCTGCACAAAGGAAAACAGCAGCCCTTATTTAACCACGGGTCATGTTGTGTCTTCAGCTACCCCCCACACCGCCATCACCCTCCTGCTTTTCTGCTTCGCCAAGTGGATTAGAAGAATCCAGTAGTTTCTCCTTCTTCAAGGTGAAATCCTTTACAATTTGTGACGACAAGGACCTGCTCTGTCGCTCCATCTCCTTCATCTTAGGGACAGGTCTGCGTCTTAGGGAGGACATCTGTAGAACATCTGCTGGTTGTAGCTGTGGAATATAGAGGCAATCATTGTGATGTTTTGAACACACCAGTGTTTTTCTCAGTAAATATTTTTCTATTTCAATCGATCTGGAATTCAAAGCTGATTTTTATAAATATCTAAGTAGCCCACACAAAATATTTTAATAAATGCAATATAATGCCGTTTTGATGAAGTAAACAAATGAAGGAAAAGGTGTAGAAAGCCACATAAAACAGCAGTGTGTGTCAGATCTGTTAGTATTTATACAGATTCTGCTGCTAGGTGCAGATAAATATCAGCTGGTTTTAGTTGATTGACTTTTAAAAGGTTTCTTATTAGCACAGGAATTACATGATGGTAAATGGTCTTGCAGTGTATGGTTCTGGCAGATTTTTATATAACTAAAGGAAGGATGAATACAGAAATGTACTGGGACATTCTTTAGAAGAATCTGAAGATGAAATGATTCAAAACTTTTAAGAAAAAACAACAGAAATAAAAAAATCTGAAACTGCTTTCAGAGAAAAAAAATGAGGGAATGACTAAAAAACATGCAAAGAACCAAACACCATAAGAGAAACAGGTCAACATCCCACCAGAGAAGTTCAGAGAAGTTCATTTCATAACCATAAAAAAGGCTTTCTCCAAAACCTAAACCTTCAGTGAGTGTGTTGGATACTTATTCCCCGTTTCCTAACATTGCTTCAACATGAATTTGTTTTTCAAACTTATCTTCTTTTTATTGGATGTTTGACAACATCTGTGAAAAACTTGTACATACTTATTTGATGCATTTATAAAAATCATAAGAAGAATAGTAGTTTTTGATATGGGTGATATAAGGCTGACTGCCAAGGGCACAATGGCTAGAGGGGCCACCAACAATGAAGAAACAATAATTTGTCAGTGAGAAAAAAATGCCCTGCATAAGTAATACCTTATGAAGCACTAGTTTATATCTAGCAATTGATTAGTAAAATATCTGTATTTCTAGGTAGTTTGGGCTTTATCTAAACAGCTCCAATATAAACTATAAACACTTCACCTGAACTACATCGTTCAACACTGAAACACTTAATCCAGTTCAGTTTATTTATATAGCGCCAATTCACAACACGTGTCATCTTAATGCACTTTACAGAGACAGTTCAACCAGATCATACAGTCAGATTAATTCAGTTTTCTATCTAAGGAAAACCAGCTGATTGTATGGACTCATTGACTCGAAGGCAATCCCTCACACCAAACCCCGCGAAAAACAGTTTGTATGTTTCATACACTGTCACCTACTGGGCAGCAAGTGTAGCTTCAGGTGTATTACCAAACCTGGTAGGAAAGAAATGTGGAAACTGGTACAGAATTTCTAGCCTGGGTGCCATTTGGAACTTAGTCCCGCCCACAACATTTGAGTTTGGGAAGTTCGGCCTGGTATTGCTCAATATTAGCACGAGTATGCTGGCACAATATCTGGCGGGCCAATCAAATTGTCAGGGCGGGCTTTATACGATGATGGACAGATGATCAACAGTAACGTAATCAACCACGTCACCAAAGCGCGCTTGGGTGACAGCAACAATGGCTGCCGCTGGAGAGTTGAGGTGTGTAGATTCTGCTATTAGGTCTGTTCTAGAAGATATCGACAACAAATTAATTTTAAAAGAGGAACAGAGAAACGCGATCAAGGCTCATCTTCTTATTCTAGGCGTGCAACTGCACGCTTTGATTTTTGTTGACAACAACTATGCATCGCTTAACATACGTCACGCACTCCGTTGCTCTTATTGGTTGTAGGTCTATCCAATTGAGTGCAGAGGCATTTTTTTTCCTGGTTCGTTCGAAACACGCCCCATAATCACAGCTCTATGGAGCAATATCAGACTCATATTCTGACTAGAATTGAGTAGGACTACGTCAGGCTACAGAATTTCATGCTTGAAGGTGAAATATCAGTTTTACAGAGGGGGCTTGATAACATACCCTCCCCATTAAAGCAACTGATAGATCCACACTCACAATTAAAATTACACAAAATTGAAAAAATTAATAATAAGTAAAAATGTTAATCCTGTAAAAAGAATTTTAGCTTTCTAAAAAATATATTATTTCTTACAGTGATCTATTTCTATCTATCTATCTATCTATCTATCTATCTATCTATCTATCTATCTATCTATCTATCTATCTATCTATCTATCTATCTATCTATCTATCTATCTATCTATCTATCTATCTATCTATCTATCTATCTATCTATCTATCTATCTATCTATCTATCTATCTATCTATCTATCTATCTATCTATCTATCTATCTATCTATCTATCTATCTATCTATCTATCTATCTATCTATCTAGTGATAAACATGTTGCTTTGCTGCAACTGCTGCAGAGCAACTGTATAATAGGCTCTTGGTAGGTTGAATAAAGTTGATGTTTGCGTTTAAGTATCTTTTATATTTCAGATCATTTTGACATGAAATTTGACAGAATCGATTTTTTTTCACTACCTATCTAGGTTAGACATGAGTTGTTCAATAAAGGTACTGCTCATGCGAGAACCACCATTTTCTATCAAGCGAAGACTTTCTGTAAGACTTGAATTTTCCTGCCAACTGTCAACTACGAAAACATTAAAGCTAAAACTACATCCGGTATTTAGAGGGAATAAAAACATTTATTTTCATTAATAGAATAACTGTCAGCATATCTGTCAGCCTCAGTAGCTGTTCCAGCTGCAGAGATCACCATATGTGCAATGAGGAAAAACATACAATTTGGTGGCCAAACAGGCTTCCTGCCAGGTGCGCCTCGCATGACAAAACACACATTTGTCTGATTGAAAAGTGTTTTTCATGCATCTCATCCAAAAACGGAATAGTGCTCTGATTTACAAACCTTTAAAGCCTTCCTCGATGTCTGGTGCTTGATGAAGGTCATGTTTGTCATTCTGTCTCTTGTAGTTCCCAAAGTCTGGTTTCATAGAAAGAGATTTTTTAGAATTAAAACAAGTAATTTAAATACAGCTGAAAGGAATATATATACAGCAGTTTTTGCACTTTGATTCTATTAGATTAGATAGGAGAGGTCAGGAGGTCGGGACACTGTGGGTATTGGGACAAAGCAGTGATGCTCTTAGAGCTTTCCACACCGATAAAGGTGAGGAGTTTTATTCTCTTACAGTCTCCACCCACACACCTGATGGAAACGCCAACAGAGGTCATTTTCTGTAAAGCTCTTCTGCACATACAGAACATTTGTTCCTGTAAAAATTCCTTGATGTCCTCCATCTGCTACACCGTCACTTACAGCAGCAGTCATGACTCCTCTGACATGCTTCTCCTCCTGTTTATAGAAGTCATGGGTGGAAGATTTTGTGAAAACATACAGAGAAGAAGACAGTCTGCAAGAATTTAGTTTTAATCGGTTTTACAGGAGAAAAAAAAAAAGACAAGGGCAAAGCAGCTGAGCAATAGTTGCTGCAGCCCTCAGACTGCAGCAACAATATGATCTTGGCTCAAGTTTCCAACGAGCGTTGACATTTCCGAAATTGTGAGGATTCCCAAACTGGCAGCTTTTCAGCGGGGGTTTTAGCGATACAGTATTTACAAGGCATGAGCAAGTGGGAGCTGTGCAACAGACGGCGCCGAACAACGGCGCTTTCAATTATTTCTCACAGCATTCATGAAAATAGAAGCACAGCAGGGAGTACAGTACGAGCGACCAAACTATATAAAGAAACGTGGCAACGAAAAAAAAAAAAGAGACTCCCAAGCTAATCTAAACGGGGTGTGCTGGAGCTGGTGAAGAGCTCAGAGTGGTGCATGTCTCAGAAAAATGAGAGATAGAGACAGTGTGCTGGAGTGCAGGCAGAGTGAGCAGTGAAGGAGGAAAAAAAATAGCTGCATAAATAATTAGAGGGAGGTTGAAGTTGAGATTTGATTGCATTTTAAGAGTCTGTTTTGAGAGTGAAACTGGTCTGGCAACCTCAGCGGGGTGCCTCATACCATTAGATCTATATTTAAGAAGCAAGCGAGAGGGATTTGCAACTAGTTCTGCCAGATTGTTTTACATGATCACTCATAATAGTTGCTAGTTAGAATAAAATATAAAGAACACTCTACGCTGATGATGTTTTATCGTTCTTGAATGAAGCAACTGTACCAATATACCGCATGTGTTGATGGTGCTGCTCTACTGGAAGCAACCATCAAGAGACCCAGAGAGCATCCTGTTGCTTTGAATGAACTGAAACAGCAGCTAAATGGTTGATCGTCGAAGTAGCAAATAGTCATATTTAACACATTTAAATATTACTAAATAGCTCATTTATTTCAGAAACTTACTATGTATGTTTTAGAAATACACTGATGCTTTATAGATTTATTGCTGTTCTTTATCATTTTTGCTACAACTAAAAGGAGATTTAAGATTAGATTTATAGATTAAACCAACAAAAAGGGTTTTTTAAAGAATTTTCAATGCCACAATAATATGTATACAAAAAAACAAAAACAAATAAAAACTGTGCAAGTCCCAATCTTTTTATGCAAGTTGCTTTTTTTCAATATGACCGTTATACTAACACTGCTCAGGTCTACATTTTTTGGTCTAAGTTATTTATGGAGTATAGATTATAAATATTGATCACAAACAGCTTCAATACATGTATTTTTAAGGTAACTACAGATAATCCTAAATGGTGGGTCTATATTAAAAGATATTATGGAGGATGTTCTTTTTCCGGGTGGATCATCTAAATAAGTGGTCCTCCTAATTGTCAATCATTCTGGTGATATGTTTACGTAAGGCCGTCCTATGTGCTCGTCTACATTTTCACTTACAGGTGGTGAGTCTGACATAGTGGAAAAAATGCAAATCTTCTTTTTGAAAGTAAGCTTGTATGAGCCATGCAAGCAGCAACTTTTAAACAGAGCGTGCACAGAGCAATAGGCTCATGCATGCTCTCGCACGCGTTTATTAGACGATCCCTTTCGGGATTGGGTACATGTGCATTTTTTTTTTAAAGTGGAGAGGACGGGTGTTTTCAAAAACTTGCAAAAACCCTCCACAATACCTTTAACTGCAATCTATCTATTCATAAAATTCCTAAACCCAGTAACTCTCTTTTTTTTTATCCTTTATATCAGCTTTTGGTTTATTTATTTTTGTTGTACAGGTAAGGGTCTGGAACAACTTTATTAATTTGATAAAAGAACCACTGGGATTGGCTTATTAGCAATAAATTAGTTTCTGTAATCTTCTCTTTTAGAAAAAAAAATTAGGGTCTGCTTCTATACTCTGACACCTGCTTAATGGTTGCTCCAGAAAAAGATCAACCAAAGCTGTTTATTGAGCTTAGTTCCCAGTTCATATTAGTGAGTTTAAAATATCACTGTCAAGCAAAGACAAATCATATGCAATTACCATTATTAAATGCCTTAATGTTACCTTAAAAAAAAAAAAAATTTGGTGTGGGATAAAAACAAACCCCCCTTTGCTCCGCAACCCGTCAACAGAAAGCGGCCATCTTTTTTACTCTCACAGCTGAGATGCTGTCAGGAAAAGGGATATGCTCCCATTCAGATATGTTTGCTTCCCAGCTCTTCCACCATCTCGATGGGACCCCCACCCCCCACCCCACACCCACACACCACCACAACCAGTCCACCAACAACCCCCAACATAATGGATCAAACAAAGGACATCATTTGTAGGCCAAGTCTTTTTCTGAGTGTCTCTCTCCTCGGCTCTGCATACCAATCCAATACAGCCCAGGGAAAAAAAGGCACGCTGTGGAACGTGTGTGTGTGTGTGTGTGGACTGGGGGTTGGAAAGGTCTGTTTGCCTCTCCGCCAAGCATTGATTTATCCTTTTCTCCAATTTATTTCTCCTCCTTGCTCCTGCAATCCATTCAGATCTGCCTCTAGGGGAGGAACTTGGGGTAAAGACGTTGTCAGACCTCATCGCTGCCTTCTCACACCAGCTCAAAACTCATCTACAGGCCTGGGGAGCGTGCACCTCTGCAAGGACGTGTCAGCCGGAAACACCCACAAATACACACACACACTTTTCATCTAAGGCCAAACTTTTATCAGTGCTACAATGTGTTTTATAATGAAGACAAAGACAGAGGGTGATTATACATCTGAGTCGTAACAGTGATGTGAGAGATGATTGGCTGCAAAGTGTTTCATAGCGCTCCTCTTTGGGGTAACAATAGTTGCTGAATGAGGTTTAATTGTTCCTCCTAATCAGACCTAGAAGCTGATCTGATCACAATGACGGTATCTCTCGAGCCTCGATGCGACTGTCTGATCCCCTATCTCTGTCTGTATTATTCTGACATTTCCAGATCCTATTACTCAGACTCAAGGATTTGTCTCCTCATGCTCCACCGGTGACGACAGAGCTGAACTGCAATGCTGCATGTGCACAAATCCCACAGTTATACCCCTGCACGAAAAACACACACACACACCCATATATAGCAGAGATCTGTGAGCCATTCTTCAGTGTCACTGTGAGCGACGCCTGGCACATCCTTACACCTGAAGTTGATCAATGCAGATATGTCCAGGGGGAAATTGAAATCCATAGGAAATTAGGCGGTCCCAGTGATTTACTGGAACAGTAAATCATCCTGTGTGTGTGTGTGTGTGTGATGTGCATTTTTACCTCTGTGTACAGTACTGTACCTTGTGCTTGGCTGGCAACGCGATGTCGCCTGCTCTCACTTTCCTGTTTCTCTCCATTTGGTAGACCCACTGAAGCAGATCCAGAGGAGGGAAACCGTCCCTCTTGTACAGCCCTCCATGAGGGATGGGGTGATGCCCCCCCATGGACACAATGCTGTCCAGGGGCCCCTCTGAAACACAAAAAAAGCAAAGATAGAGAACGCTCAACAGTTCATGCTGCATTTAGAGTTTTGTCCTCTGTGTAAATGCAGCTGCCCTTAAACGCTACATGTAAATGAGTTCCCTCTAACTTTCTAATACAGTGTTGATATCCCTTAAACCTTTCTCCTTAGTCATTAAATTAATTTGTATTATTTTTACACCTACACCTGTATGTTTTATGCATTGGGATTTTATGTAACCAATGTTTTGCAATTCATAACTGACATGATTTGTAGTTATTATTTATTGCAACAAATTTAAGACTGTTATGTGTTGTTCTGTGATTACACACAAAACTGGGTGTGTGTTAGGACAACAGATTAATGCGTGATTCAAGCTCAAATCATGGTCAAACTAGTAACGCTGCACACATATGGAATAAATAAACAACCTTAATGTAAAATTTATTAAGAAAATACATTCAACTAGAGGTCAAATATATTTCAGTTAAAAACTCTTAGCTACCACTACCTCACCGTTGTTCCTTACCTACACTGTAATGTAAAAGTCAATCCACCTGTATATGAGCCATCCGGATCGTACATATGTCACCTCAAATCTCTGTGCTACTCCCTTGTATTTTCTATTCTTTTATTTCTTATTTTTATTTTGTTTTTCATTGTGTGTGATACATGTACACTTGCATCTTAACCCTTATTTATCTTAATATACTGTATATATATTGTTTATTCTTAATGCACCTTTTCCTCCTTGTTTGCACCTTCTTTAATTATTATGCCAATATGTGACCAGTGAATTTCTCCGCTGTGAGATTAATAAAGCTCATCTAATCTAATCTAATCTAATCAAATCTAATCTAATCTAATCTAATCTAATCTAATCTAATCTAATCTAGTTAAACTCAACGATATCTAACATGTACACAAAGAAGAAAAATACTGAAAATATCAAAAACATTGAAAATATCAAAAACTATAACCAATATATTAAATATATAAAACACAGTAAACACATCCATCCATTTTATCCCTGCTGGGGTCACGATGGGTTCTGGTGCCTATCTCCAGCTGTCAATGGGCGATAGGCGGGGTCCACTCTGGACAGGTTGACAGTCCATCACAGGGCAACACAGAGACAAACAACCATTCATGCACACACTCACACCTAAGGTGAGAATTTAGAGAACCCAATTAACCTAATAGTGATGTTTTCGGACTATGGAAGGAAGGGAACAGACGCATGCACAGGCAGAACATGCAAACTCCATGCAGAAAGACCCCAGGCCAGGATTTGAACCTGGAACCTTCTTGCTGCAAGGCAGCAGTGCTACCCACTGCAACGCTGAACTGTCCATAGCCAGAAAACATCAAAAACATCAAAAAACTCTGTATCTTGGCACACTCGCTTCCTCCGTAGATGAGGAGTTTATAGTGATGCTTAGGGCTGCTGGTGCCTTGATATCCTAGCTTGGAGGTTCATCAGTTTCTCGGCCTGTTGGCTCAAAGTTACTCTTGAAGACTTGATATAAATGTTGAAGACAGTGTGATTTGCAGTAATCCGGTTCTAGAAAGTAGCCTGCAGGTCGGCTTCACTCTGAACAGTATAAGGAGTGAAATTCCCTGGCATGCAGCGAGAATACAGGAGTTTTCCCCAATGTAGCCTGGGACAGACCCATGGGAGACGGGGAGAATATTTACTTTCAACAATGTTCAAAATTAATATTGTGGCTTATGATACTACAATAACAAACAAAAGGTATGCTTTAATGAAACCAGTTGTTGTTTTAGTAGAGGCTATGAGTGTTTGGTGGTTGTCCTGCTGAAAGGTGATCTTATGTTCTGTTCACAGCTTCTTTCTACTTTGTTGCTCTTCTCTTAGCTGAACCAGTCTTCCCGCTAGTGCTATTAATATAAGGTGTCATTTATCTAAATTATATTCTTCTAACCCAGTTTGTCACCTAAGGTGGGCAGACATATCTGTAGGTTAGCCATATTATTTCTCTTTTAAATGATGGTTGAACAAAGCTCTGAAATTTTTCAGGTTTTGGATTTTATAAAGACCCTCAGCTCTTTTAACCTTTGAGGTTTTCAAAGAAACATGGAGAGTAAAAAATGAATAAACCTGCATACCGCACTTTTCATTCCTCATGCTTTAAAAAATCCATATTTTCTTTTTACTTAGATTTCGATATCTTTTTTGTTCCTCTAACAGATAAAATGCCATAGAAAACCGGAATAAAACCTACAAAAGTTCAAGGTGTAAGAATACTGTTTAAAGCACTATAGAGGGTTAAAGCAAGCGTTGCTGTTGGAATAACGCTGAAGACTTTGGAGGCGCCTACAATGTACCTTATTATTACAGTGTATCTTACAGTTTTATTAATGCTGCAGCTTTTATTACAGTATAATATGAAAATAACAATTCAAAGCTGTTAAAAAGTACAGGAAAAAAAATACGGTTTTTAAAATAAATTATAAATAAGTAACTAAAAGCTTAAAGTAGAGGGTTTCTACCTCATAACTTACAGAAAATAAATCAAGGTTTTGTTGTTTTCTGTGCAGCATTGGAAATTTTTAAGTCAGAAAAACAAACATTTAATAATCAAACCATTCTAAAGTGGCTTTCCATAAAATTGTGAACAGTTAGTCCAGGAGTCAGCCTCATAATGGATTGGTTGCTCCTTTACAATATACTCAACATCTCATTCGGTGGGCAGGTTGGGCCTCTGCTCACCGTCTTTCACGACAAGGTCAGGCAGCTATAAGATTAAAGGTGTAGTGGAGGATTTTGTTTTTCCGGGTGGATCATCTGAATAGGTGGACCTCCTAATTGTCAATCATTCTGGTGACATGTTTACATAAGGCCGTCCTACGTGCTCGTCCGCATTTTCACTTACAGGTGGTGAGTCTGACATACTGTAGTGAAAATATTGCAGATCTTCTTTTGGAATGTAAGCTTGAGCGATGAAAACAGCAACTTTTAAACAGAGCGTGCACAAGGAGAGGGGGCCTTGTGAATTCTCTTGCACGTGTTTGATAAGCGATCCTTCTCAGGAGCGGGTACAGGGTTGTGCATGTGCATTTTTTTTTTAAAGTGAAAAGGGCGGGTCTTTTCAAAATTCATGAAAATCCTCCACGATACCTTTCACATTTTTATTCAGCAATATTAATCAGGATTTGGTATTTTTCATGTCCCATATAAGTCATAATTCTGTTATTATTGTTAGAATCATTATTTAGCAGGGTAATGAAACGGGCCAGCCTGGTTCTATCATAAAAGTTAAGTTTCAGAGGCTATTTCCAACATTTAACAGTTCACTAAGAAGCTGAAGTTAGATTTAGCATATTTAGTCAAAAAAGAGTAAATTTCTGAAAGATTAAAAATTAATATTACCTTGTTATTCCTATTCAGTCTTTGCATTCTGCAGGATTTCCTTTAACAAGTGAGAATAAAGATTGTTTATAACTGTGATGCTTTTGCTCTGGAAAATACCTTACATGTGGCCTAAAGAATCAAAACCTGCGTTTTAACTTAAATGTCACTCAAGGTTTTGTTTAAAATTGTTTCCTTTCTAGGAAAGATAAATGAGAATATGTAAAGTTTCTTTATTATCCCTTAAATCATGGGTGGTCTATTCTCCTAGCAACCTTCCTACTTTTATGTCCTATAAATACCTACATGAAGGCATCTTACAGCCTTCATATTAACATTTTACTTACAAGCTTGTAAAAAGAAAATCCCTGTGCTCAACCATGGCAGAAGATTCAATTCAATTCAGTTTATTTGTATAGCGCCAATTCACAACAAATGTCATCTCAAGGCACTTTACACTTCACCAGATCAAACAGTCAGATTAATTAAAAGTTTTCTATCTAATGAAAACCTGTTGATTGCATCGACTCATTGAATTGAAGGCAATCCCTCACTAAGCATGCTTGAAGCGACAGTGGAGAGGAAAAACTCCCTTTTAACAGGAAGAAACCTCCAGCAGAACCAGGCTCAGTGTGAGCAGCCATCTGCTGAGGCCAACTGGGGTAAGAAGATGTGTTGGATAGTTTCATAATTAAGCTTTCCTTAAAGTAACAACATAAGTTGGATCTGGGTTATAATTTTAGTTCTCTTTTTCCAAATTTGTCGTCTTTATTTCTTTATTTATTGTGTGGCATATTAGCTTTGCTTAGCTTAGCCTATGCTTAAAAGTTGCATTTGTTTCTTAGAATAGAAAATTACTAAGCATTTTATTTTAGCTGTTGTGTTTACTTAGTTTGCATATAACACGTTTATATTGTAGTTGAATAGAGTTTCAGCTTTGTCACCAAGCCTAGGCACATGAGGCAGTAAATCCGCATCAGTTTAAATTTTAATGAGCAAATCCCAGCAAAAAACAAAAAACAAAAACAAAATTTGCTTTGAAATTAGTAAAAAAAACAACCAGAATAAATCATTCAGCAGTTTTTCGTTATGCAAAACACTTCGGAAAAGTTCCTAGGAATAACCCAGTGCAGTGAGAATCCCCTCCGCTGCAGACGCAGCCAGGGAGCCTTCATGTTCCCTTTTCTTTCCCTCTTTCTGCAGGTACTCTTCTTGTGTTCTTCCATCTTGTTTTTGTCCTGTTTTAATTGCTTTTTTTTTTCCCCTAGCAGAGAAGAAGAAAAGACAACAACAAGGCAGCCAGGGCTGCAGCTAATGGAGAAGCTGTAATTGTGAATGGAGGCATTCATCTGGAGACATCGTCCATGAATTGCACCACACAATACCCAGCACCAGGCTGCTCAGATCACCAACCAAACACACACGCTCACACACACACTGAACCCTCTGATCATTGGTGCTCAGAGGAGGAAAGTAATCACACCTCAGCTGAGAGACAGAGACACTCTTTGGAAGCTAGGACGAGTAGGAGATTGGAGGACGTCTACAAGGAGAGAATGGGAAAGGAATTTAAAGATGTAGGCGGGGAAAAATGGTGAACCTGCTGTTAGGTACCACTTGATTTGGGCTGTAGAGC